GATTCCCTAAACCGTTTGTTTGGTAGCGATAACGAAAATCTCCTAAATGCGACTAAACTGAAAAACACAAGCGATAACGAAAATCTCCCAGATGCGACAAAATGCGACTAAAACTGCGACTAGAACTGCGACAACACACACGCGAGAAATCGTACGCGTAACTTGCTTACGACTGATTAACGTTAAATGTCTCAGCGCGCGCGCGCGCTAATTGCACGACATGCCAGTCCGGTACTTTCTTCTTTCTTCTGCGAGTGTGTTGAATCTGTTGGTTGTTCTCTACATTGTTTCGAGGGTTTCCCTACCTTCACAAAAACCATCACTTCAAATTTCGATTCAACCTGGAAAACAGAGTACAAAAACCCATCCCGTGCAAATTCCAAAGTAAAACTTTGATCTTTTTCATTTCATGCACTATGTAAATTTTCCTTTGATGTATACGCTCACCCTTGAGTATTCTTTCCCCTCTCGCCCTTGCCACTTTGATTCCTGTGCATCGAAACCTTTCTAGATACAGCTGTTCAGACCATGATTAATTCAAATTGCCGCAAAAAGATTTCATACCACAATTCTGCATGTTATATTCGAAAGCCCGCAGAGAGTAACTTGAGATTTTCATTCATATTAACAAGCTAAAGGATAAGAAATGAAATTATTTTCCTATTTGTCAAGTTGTGAGTTTTCTACTGATATCATCGATGTTATGGCTTTTGCATGTCCCTTAGTAGAACTTGTGAGTCGTAGCGGTTAAATCTTCTATTATATTTCTATTTTGGAAGATAGTATTGGCAAATTAAAATAAATTGTCTTTTGTTAATTTTAGTTCTGTCTGAAAACAGGATTTTTTTTAAGATCAAAAGCTTTCACTGCAAAGAATCCGAGGAAAAGAACAGCAAAATATGCCCCGAAAGAGAAGTGTTTCCTTTAATTAGTGCGAGAAGTATTTCAGTTTGACGCCAGCGCTGTTCAGGTCAATCATCTTCCAAATAACGTGGAAAACGCTAGAATTTAAAATTCTTCGGGCGCGAAAATGAGAATGTCTGAATTCATTGCAATGTCAGAAAGGTAGGAGATTTGAGCCCATACTAATCTTTTACCAAAACTATTTTTATAAATGTATCACGAGTCAAGCTTTAATACCAGTGAATTTTGGCATTTCAATGTTGTTCTAAATATTATCTACTTAAGATATACTGTGAATATTACTTTGACTCAAAGTCTCCACGAAATGTGTTTGTGGGAAAGAGGTAAAACATCGTTCTTGATATTACAAGTGCATCGCTAAAGCTCTTGCTACTATGGTGGTTTGTCATGAACTTAGATAGTAAGTTCGAATTACTCATTGAAGTTAAAATTACCCTCAGTTAAAGTTGTATCAAGGTCATTTCGCACGAGCTAGTTGTGATCTTCGTAGTCATGTCAGGTAGTTAAATTTGCTTCTTTTTGGGTACCTCGACCGAATATTTTGTTGCTAACTTAGTGACTCTGATCAAGTTAAAAATTTACTTGAATTTAGCGGCTTCTGTTTCCTTCGAGTGAGCAGGCTTATTCAACAATTTTACTGATCATAAGTTTGCTGAAAAATGTGTTGTTATTATGATTTTTTTTCAGAGGGCACGGTAACGAATCCTGCAATCTGATTGGTTCTTTACCCGGTGGGTATTTTCCTACGGGCAACGGTAACGCTTTCGTGAGTCGCCGAGTACATCCCTTCATTCGTTGCTATTTTTCATAAATACATCTCGTTTTACCGGCTGGGCAATATTTTTTAGCAAAGAAGTCGGTCACTACCTCAAGCTGATAAATAACTTATTAATCCTCTCTTCTCTCTCTCTCTCTCTCTCAAGTCACTTTGGTCGACTGAGAAATTTTCGTTTCAGAATGAATTTTTTTGTATAAACAATAATGTCATTACGTCGGTTGACAGGCGGCCTAAAAACCGTCTGCAATTAATTTTAATCGTTCACAAAAAGGACCTAGAGAGTTAAAACGTAAGATATTTGGCTACAGTTGAACTAATCGATGGAACTTTCATTCATTTTAACATCTGAATTTTCTCAAACAATTTGTTCGTAGTGAAAAGGCGAGCGAAGATTTAATTTCAGTTCTGCAACAAATATACGCTCTCGGTGAGTCTTTTCAAGTCCGTCCAATTTGGACATTTGTATCGTAAATTGCACACCAGAAACTTAAAGAATTAAATGAGAAAAGGTCGCATGAAATCCCCTTGTGTCTCGTTGGAGTATATCATCCGAATTTAGTTTCTGCGGGGGAAAGACCAGATTTTCACACGCCATTGCGGCAAACAAATGAGCAACTCTCACAACTTCAAAACAAAAAATTTGAATTTACTTACAATTACTTTCCTCGCCGATTACTTAATGAACAAAGGTAAATCTTCGTACATAGATTAATCGTCGATGAGAGTAAATAATACTTTCCGTAAGATCATTGACTATTTTGAAGAAAAAGCTGTGGTGATAGTCCTTGCCAATCTAGTTTCGTTGTTTTTTAAAAATTTACATGCGCTTTTTTCTTTTCTTACGCGCTCTCTAAATGACAGGTGTCAGATTGTGACAGATATTTGTATAATAACGTTTCAAAGTTTGTTTGGAAGCCTTTTAAATCACTTTTATCATTACGCAAATGAAAATGTTCCCTTTAATTTGCGTCACCTCTATTTTAACTACCATTTACTGGCTCAAAAGCTGTTCAGTTTATGGAAGATCTTGCCGTATTTACAGCCCTAAATCATTCAGGTTCTTTCGGAATTAATTTCGTCAAGTTTAAAAGAAATAAATATGTTATTTACCGGCTAAGGGTCGGTCCGTATGGTGAAAAACTGTGACCTCGGCCTTGACCTCAGCATTTTCAAGACCTCGGTCACAGTTTTTCATCATACGGACCTCCCAGCCGGCAAATAACATATATGTATTCTTATTAATCAGATCAGGGTTATCATCTTGTATCATCATTTTGTGGCATGCTCTTGCGGCAGGCCCTTTGCTATGATTTCTCTAGAAAAGTTAAACAGTAAGCAAAAGGTTTTCACTCGAGTTCCTTGTTGCAAATTGAACGAAATACGACAAAAATTGCATAACATTGCTCATTGCTTGGTCAGGATTAAAGCCAACCTTAGACAAACCGCGCTGCTGACCGTTAAGTTTTGATAGACATCTTGACCTGACATTTCTTCAGACACGGACAACAATACAAAGAGAAATTACCGCACAGAGAATATAACTCGGCCTCCTTTTGAATTCTCACCGCGCCAGGCTACGTCTGGTTATCGTCTTGTATCAAGCCACCGTTATACTTTTGAACCAAAACATTCGCGTTTAAGAGCGCTTGTCTGTAAAAATCAGACAAATTCTAAATTTCGCGGCAAGGGTGAAAAAATCGATTTCTTTCTTATTTTAATATTAGATAGGCTAGACTATAACTAAAATCACTGGATACTTTTTTTGGCAAAATATCTTTTTATTTCAGAGAAAAATGCAAATAACAAAATTCCGTTAAAATCGTCATTTTTAGCACAGGCGGCCCAAGCTCACGTCTCGAGAAAAAGCCAACGATGAATTCATGAACGTGTCACGCGTTGTGTGACTCGGTGTTAAGTTACGGGAGGAACCGTTGAAAATTTGAACACGTTATAAGGAATAGTATGGGGAACGAAATATGGTCGATTTACAACGATAAATATTTCGAAATATGAATATTTTACACGTAAATCAATAAAACTTACTCATGCCCTATGTATCCGTCGTAGTTTCTGGCGATTTCTGCCGTTTTAAGCTTGCTTTACCATCACTGTTATCCATGTCAAAAGACTTCTTTTTAGCAAGCCCCACCCATTGGCCACGGAACATAGCACCCCTGCCTCACATAAGCCACACATCCCCACCACTGCGTTTTGTAGCATGGTGCAGTAAAAATAATAAAAGGTTCTCTTTCATGCTATTCGGGGTATTCCTTGCAATTTTAGTGGAAAGAAAAACACCCCTAACGACTACGAAAGGCACAGAGCGTCAAAAAAACAAGAATAACAAATGTTTGTCATCAGACAAAGATGACATTATTACAGAAATGGTTACAGAATAGAATATTTTGTAGGTTCCAAGAGTTCAATTTTGATAGTGCTTAATTATATGGAGTTTTGCCCTTCACCTACCCCCTAAAGTTCCTTTGTCACCGGTATTGCGTGACAACCCAAATACTCAAAGGGCGTACATGTTTGTAGTCAACTCAGTTTAGCATTGAATTAGACTGTCAGATGTAATCTGAAAAACATAATTTAACCCCCGCCTTAATGCAAGCTAAACGATATGATAATTTTGGTGGAAAGGAACTTTTCATGGAAGTGGCCTGTAATATTTAGCAACTCGAAAGTCTCCCAAACTTCGCCCTTTGTATTTCTTTTGCAGTTTTATTTTCATTGAACCTTCCAAAAGGTACTATTGCAAGTTAAATAAAGCAAATGTATCCCGAATAAATGCGATGAAACAAAAAATTCGCACTTCATTGAACACGGAACCAATAGAAGGAAATTTAATAATGGCTTTCATTGTTCTAGTATGTTGTGGGAATTTGCAAGTCTCAGCTGGAGCATTTTTCTGATATTTCATCATCAATTTTAACTTAGAGAGAAAAGTACTGAGTTAAAAAAGAAAAAACTAGAAAATGCGTGGTGAAAAGGATCTAAAATACACTCGACTATTTTAAGTTTTGCTCATGATAGCTTTAGTGACGCAACACGACAGTTGACAAGATTAACAAATCCAAATCAAAGTAGGCAACATTTTAGCATTTCCTTTTCCTTAGAAGTTTATTGCACAGTTACACACATTCTGATATTTGACATTTCCGTTCGGTCATCATTGACACATCTCACGAGCTAGTAATGGGTAATTTACTTGTACACAGTACAAGTTGCCTGTGTATTTAAAAGTACGTGAGTTTAGCTCACTTGTATTTTCTATCCTTTCTCTTTGCCTTCTTAGAATGTACAGAATGCGATGTCCATCGTCCAATTGGCTTTTCCTGGTTTTTGCGTTGCTTCTATCCATTGGTAAGACACTTCTACGGCACCTTCTTTAAATGCACCTCGTATTTTATTGAAAAAGCAACGATACTTTATGCCCTGCATTCAACGCCTTTACTTTGCTTTCAGTGTAGAGTGTGCTTTTTTGTAAAATGGTTGATTTACTTGATTTTGTCTACTCATCTTCCTTACTTAGACGCTATCCTAGCAAGGAAATCTGAACAAGTAAGTCATATTTTTCCTCGGAAAAATGTTTCAATGGTAATTGAATTTCAATGTTCATACCTTGGTTGGAAAAAAAGATTTCCAAACTACTTGTCCAAATTTGCGAGGGGTTCGTATTTTTCAATGATTACTTGATGTTGCTTATGTTTTGTATGTAAGATATGATGCGTTACGGAAATTGATTTCATTTTGGTTGTGCGATGAAGATATGATAGTGATGAGTGACTGAGACTGTCACAAATATAGTGCAACTCAATTCCATTGAAATTAAAAAAAAAAAAGCAAGACATCAATTTATTCGAGTTGTACAAAGGGGGTGCATCTCATGATCGGCTTGAAGCGTTTGTGTATTTATCTTCCTTGATTCTTTCCTTAGAATCTCCACCATCACATGACCAAGAGAGAAATAGAGCATTACTTTGGTGTCAAGGATCATACAAAAAGTAAGACAAAAAAGTTCCTTTTCGCATTTTTGATAATTTTTAAGCTGTTTTTGCGATATTTTGAGCAGTGAAAAGAAGGTTAGTGCGATCGTTAGCCCATTTAAGGTGTTGCTCATAGACATCGTAACTGACAGCGCCCCCGACGGTGGAGAGAGAAATAAAGCTCCTTTCCCAAAAACGCAATTAACTAATGCCAGCCGAGTTTTGAACACGGACATTTCGACCTGGAGTCTAACGTACTACCTGTTAAGGCAACGCTTGTTCCACATTTCAACTGACACTAGGTAAGCCCCGAAAGGCCTAGACCTCTAAGAACGTAAGTTTTTGCCATCTTTTCACAGTACCCGAATACGATATCAGCTCACCACATCATACAGATGTTAATGGAAGGACTATGTCTCCCTTTCTCATCAAGGGAGATGTGGGTCATTCAGATATTTTACATTACGACCTGCATGCATTTGGTTCCAAATTACGGCTGCGATTGAGGCGAAATCGTAACCTCATGGCACCGAACTTAGTTATTGAGAGACATCACGGAAAGGGTATGGTAACGACTCAATCTGCGCCTAAAAACAAATACTACTTGGGACAAGTTTTGTCCGATCCAGATTCCTTGGTGGCCTTGCGAGGTGACACAAGCTTGGTAAGAGTTTTGTTACGCTTGATGGTATCTTGACTTTTTCTCTAAACGTTTTTAAATTTAACTTCTTTAAATTTTTTTTAACATGGTGCTCTCGCTCAGACACGCCTGTGTTTACTACCGTGTTAATGATGTGCATGAAAAATGACGCGCTTCTAACTGGCGGAAAATTAGTGCATTCTCATGGAACTCGAGTGCAAATTACAAATAGCACGCGCGCAATTTCAAAATTTCGTCTGTCTTGCCTTTCTCGTATGTTTTTTTTTTCATGTAAATTATTAACAACAAAAACATGATTTCTCCTGCAATTTGGTGTGATAAACACTTGTAAATTTTTTAAAGACTACAAATTGTACTCACCCTATGGGCTCGTGCAATTTTGTTCTCTTTGAAAAATTTACTCGTGCCTATTAACACCGAATTGCACTCAAAATCATCTCATTACGCATACAAATTTCTTGCTGGTACTTACATTATGTTAATTTTTTATCATTAGATGGGTATGATCAGGACTTCTCGAGAAACACTATTTATACAGCCGCTCTCGACACACTTGGCCAGGAGAGTGAGGAGAAATGCATACTCTACACCGCACTTGATTTACAGAATTCCAACACAAGAAGCGGTTTCCTGTGAAATGCAGTCAACAGGTTCGTTCGTTTTGTAAAACGAGCAAATACTGGAATTAGTGATGCCACAGTAATGGCGCAGGAGTCATTGGTTGGTTCCCGCTTTATGGTTCTCTTGTTTTCGGCCTTCCTCCACGATGATAAGCACTGCCAATTTTAACTCGACTTGGGCACAAGACGCGAGGATCAATCTATGATAAATTCAGTTTACTTTTTAATTTTTTTCTCTTGGCACTTCCACTGGCAATTCTTTATGTGATTTTGACGACATTAAACCTGCTTTCGGTAAATGATTGTTGTCTGTATATCGCATTGTGTTTAGATGTACTTATTTGGCTTTTTCCCACAGACCACTAGATTTTTCATCAGTACTGAGACCTTTTCTTTATTTCTTTACTTCTATTTTTCTTATTTTTCAGGAAAAGATCGTATCAAGAGATCTATACTTTATAGGAAGACTCGTGAAGTAAACAAAAATGGCTATAAATTTCTTGAAGGAGCGTTAATTGTTCCTAAAAGCTACGAACAGAAGTATGGAACAGATAAATTTGCCACAGTACTCCTCGCTATTGCCAACATGGTATGTTTGCTTGGGCATGTTTACGACGAAACAATATTGATTTTGTCTTAATCAACGAGCTCTAAAATGGCTGGAAGCCAGACAAACATTCGCCGTATCAGCAGCTTTTGGAAAATGCCCGAAGGTTCATTATTTCATCAGTTATCCTCTTTGATATGCAGAGATTCTCTTCAGTAAGAGTTTCGCTTCAACGAGAGGGTGGTTATTAACTCGTCTTACACCTTTTAAAAGGAAATTCCATCTTTATCAGAATTACATTTTTTCATCTGATAGGTTGCTGGTATGTATCAAGATCCCAGTATAGGAAAAATCAAGGTCTATTACGTGGTTACCAAGATTGTTGTTATGGAGTCAACAGTAAAGCTGGTAAGAAATACCATTAAGAACCAAGTTTGCTAAAGATACTGTAGTTTAGATTGGTCTGGTGAAAACGAACAAGAAGCCATTGATAATAAAAAAGATGATAAAAGTGAAAGGTCGGAGCAAATGCACGCGATTGGAGCCAAGAGTGCGTGTGTAAACGTTGGAGACCAAGGCATATTGTTTCTTGTTTAAAAAGCTTCGGACGTGAGCCGGGAAGAGGGGTTCTGGCAAAAGTGTTAGCGAAAGAGAAAAAAAACAAAAATAAAAGTCTTGCACTTTTGAACTCTTGTTTCTGAGAAGTCCTATCGTGCTACATCGAGTCAGGATTTTTGAAAGATAGGGAAAACCAATTGAAACAAGTTTAATTGCGGCTAAAAACTTTGTTTTCTTTTGCTGTATAGGCTAATTTCTCTAAGATCGACAGCAATAGCAAAAAGCTGACTCAGATGTTGAAATGGGCGGGACCTTCAACACTGAAAAGTATTAACGACCCGGATCACTATGACGTGTTCAGTTATGTGTCAAAGTACGTATTAACTTTAGATTCTCGGATGAATATCAACATAATTTTCATTCGACGTCATGTTTGTCGCGCACAGCATTGGGTGGATAACCGAGCAAATAATTCTTGGTCAGAAATCAAACAAAGTGAGCCGAACAAACATGCTCTTCCAGCTTGATTTTGAACGAAAATATTGATGTTACATCCGGAACTGTAACTCTCAAGATCTGAATAATGGTCCCTTTTCTAGTTGCTGTACTTTTTCACGTAAGTAAACAAAAGATGAAAAGCACCCTCGAGCTGATGGATTCGTCCAATCCCATTGCCTCACTTTTTCCTGAATGATGTATAGAGAGGACGTTGCATGGGAAAAACCTTGACAGTGGTATTTTAAGTCTCTTTTGGGGTGTCAGATTCATCGGAAAAGGAGCAAACAGCATCGTATCCCCTTGAAGGTGAAAAAGACTTATGCTTGTTTTACGAGGCGTTACGTAAACGTTTCAAAGAGGCGCGGGGGAAATTTTGCTGAGAGAGAGACAGATACCAGCCTACGTTGTAAGAAATCCTCTATAATTAACTCCTTTTGGCACAGAGGATCAGACAGACAAACAGAGTACAGACAGACAGACAGACTGTTTAAACAGTTTTCTTTTCGTCACCAAAATGACTCTATCACGGAGCGTCTAATTCCGGTAGAAAATTATATTGTTTCGTGCAACTAAGCAACTGTCTCCCTAGACTTGTGATGAAATTTTTTTAATTGACCATTTTACCACTTTCTTCCCTTTTTGCAGTGAAATAAAAAGCGGAGGTAAGATGCTCTTTGCTAACTTGTGTAATCGGCTGAAAGATGCCAAGCTAGATGAAACGCGTCGTTTTAGAAATTTTCATATGTTTTTGGGTGATAAAAGTTCCAAGGAAGATAAGAAGAATGAAGGGTCATTGAATATATCCATATATGTAAATTTTTAGGTCTCGCCATAGCTAACCAGATCTGTTCCAAGGCAGGCGCTGGGAATGGTAACGTCAACGCTGATGTTGGTCTTCAAACTGCACTTCACGTCGCACACGAGATAGGTCACAAGTAAGTGACGACGTTGCGTTATTTGCATTTTTGCATTATGCCCGATGTCAGTATTTGTCTTCGTCTTGTACGCTCTCTTATATCAGATTCCTTTGTCGCACATTGGCTCGGGAAAGCGAACCACCTGGATCTAATTTTATCTTTAAATTAGAATCTTTTAACAATAACACGACGAGATTTGTCGGAAGTTTCGTGTGTCGTGACTTGAAAGTTAAGGTAGCACAATTAGCAGATGTATCGACAGTTTTGTTGCTACATGTTTGCTTGTTTGTTTTTTTCGGTTTTTGTTCTCAATAATTAATCGTCATTGCTAGCTCTTGTATGTAATAAGGTACGAATGAGGTAAGAAATGCTTGTACATTACCATCACATGAGAATTAAAGGCTTACCTTTCTCTGTTGTCGCAGCCTTTACCTTGATCATGATGGCGATGTAGGGTGTCCGCAGCATCAATACATTATGGACGCTGTTTTACCGAGTGGTATCTATGCAGCAACCTGGTCGAATTGTTCCCGGAGGGTCCTTCAGGAATTCTTGGGGTGAGTGCCCTCTTGTGGAAAATCGGTTAGCGTTTTGTAAACTTATGAAACAACTGAATATTCCCAATCGTATCTTGATTAAAATGATCTACATGCTCCAGTAAATGCTACTCGCAATTTATTTTCCAATATAATCTGGAAAATGATGACCACTTATGACTTTTGTGCCTTTTTACACGTACCATAGTAATATTTTTTAGATTGATTTTAAATAGCATTTTACGTTATTATACCATATAATTATACCTTTTGTAATGTCAAGGTTCTAATGAACTTACAGGACCCCTATTAATACTTGTTTCATTTCACTAACGAGGTTATCCGATTTAAGATCATTTACGATAAGCTAGGAAACATTATGTGGTAGGTGGGCTTTGTTTACTTTTACAGATCCAAATAGTGAGAAGTGTGGCATCTGTGAACTGCCTGCTAACATCTGCAAGGGTAATATCTAACCACTTTGTTCTTACTGTATTGACAGAGGCAGCAAGTCTTGGTGTTTAGATAACACACCCCACGGCGATCTTCCAACCCTTAAACCTGAGTATCACGGCAAACTTCCTGGGGAAATCTTCGATGGGGATGCTCAGTGTGTCATGCAGTACGGCGCTGATTACATATTGTCACCTCATCAAAAGGTGAGCTATGACTGAGAAAGGAAGTACCACAATGAATAGGTTCGGCGCGCAGCAAGCCATAGTTTACTTCACGCAGCTTTATCTTTGAACCAATGGGGAGCAAGTTGTTCTTGGATTTGAGATTGTTATTTATTGTTCTGCTACATTAAAAATCTTGGATGGCGGATTTGGAAAATCAGTCATTCGTTTCACACAAATCAGCCAATTTTCTACCATAGTGAAATTAGTTAAGCACCTAAGAAGAGATGGAAACTTTGAGAATACTGGTCCTCGGGGCCAACGCGTCTCAAGTTAAGTAGAGCCCTTGCGTAATATGCAGTGAAGATGTCAGGCCATGAGACCTTTTCCTAAACAGATTAACATTTCCCTCGATTTAAACTCATCGCCCCTTGTTTCAAAATAATTTCTACTTTAAAATTTTTTTTTAAGGGAGTATGCGATAAGTTATATTGCTTTAATCCTAAAAGTGGAACGCAATTGAGTCGACTTGCACCGATAGCTGATGGGGCACCCTGTGCAGAACGCAAGGTAAGAACAAGGGTAGTTATCCTGCGATAATCTTATGAGCGTCCGGAAGCGTTTATTATGGCCATTTTCTTCTGCCACGAGCGAAACTTCCATGAATACCGCCACGAAAACACACCATGCCTTGCCAACAAGCTCTCTGCGCCTTAGCGTCTCTCCAGCTTCTGTCGCCGGCTGCTTCATTGTTCATAGCGACAAGGCTGGGAATGCCTGCTTCCTGGCTAAATCTACCCCAAAGATTTTACGAGCAAAGATAAAAGAAACAAAATTTTGCCGTTTTAAATTTCACTCTATGGAAACTGAATTATTCGTGAAACGGTTGATTGATCATTACGATCAATAAATCAATTGATAGCTTGACTCTTGACTTTCTGTCTTTCCCACACTTACATTTAATTGAAATAAACACTATCTTATAAACGTTTTTCGCATGAATGTTTCTCGACACCGGTAAAAGTGAAAGAACTTCAGAAATTCTCGACCAGATTTCCCCAAGCTGGGGAAAATGAAGCTGCCATGTTTTCGCTTCAAGAACACTGTAGCCACAAACTAACTGTGGGATTCATTTAGAAATTTATTGAAAATGTTATTTACATGAGAAAGAAAACCACTTGCAAAGTGAATGTGCATTCAAGATTCTTTTTTTATTTCGGCTTTCATTTGATAGTTATTACCAAGTTTAAACGCTTCAGCACTTCTGTTAATTTTAGGAAGGACTCCGTGAGAGTTTTGATTTAAGCAGAGGCAATTAAACAAATTTTGTTAAAGGGAAATTGGGTGCCGCGTGTATACAAAATAGCTGAACGGCATTTGAACAAGAGTACACTTGCAATTTTGCTGTTTATGTCGTAAGTTAGGTCCTCAAACTTGAAATAAATTTTACCACCTATAACCCTAAAACTGACCTTTATTGCGATGAAAAAGCTCCAGAAAATATTTAAAATGTTTCTTAGGCCTGCAAACTACAAAAACTTTCTGTCCAGCTTATTATTTTACAGTGATGAAGGAGTGGTAGAGGAATTCTGGCTACAAAATTCACGTTTTTCCCTTCCAAATTGAAGTATTCTTCAAAAGCACTTTTATAGTTAGTGCCCTCTAACTAGTTTGATCTTACACATCGCTATTTTACGTAAGTTTTCTCTACAATTTCTGCTCGGGTTCTCGGTGCTATACGTTCATTCAGCGGGAAATTAATTTGTCTTTGCTCTTCTGACCAATGTTTCATTCAGTTTCCTGCGCTTTGATTGGTTTCTCACGAATTTTTTTAATGGTTTTCATGAGAATCAGCGACTTTATCACAAATTAAGAGCTAAGAATAAGTTTATCTATATCTCTGACAAACTCCGCTCTGAATTATGTCATAGAGGCGACAAACAACACCCTCTGGGTTACTGGGGCTCCTACAATCTGAATTGCTCTCAGCAGTACAATTCAATCTCAGATCGTACTCTTTTCATTTTTTTGTGACTGGTTGAATAAGAAATTTTTAATGACAAAAATTTCAGCAATTAAATTGCAACATTTTAAAATTAGATATTGTTATAAAACCGGAAATTGGACCACGTGTTCGGCCATTTTAATGCGTGTTTATTCGATTTTTAAATCGAGCGTACAGTTGCAGACCAGATTAAACTTCTTGCACCTCAGTTACCGCAGAAAAAAACAAACCCTCTAAATCTGTAATAATTATGTCACTTTACCGGTCTTAAAAAATATTTTCTGTTACAATTGCAGTGGTGCATAAGCGGGAAATGTGTAGACAATGGCAAACCAAGGATTCATGGAGGTTGGAGCGCGTGGTCTCGTTACGACTCACCATGTTCACGGCCATGTAACGGCGGAGTCACGTTCAGAACTCGAACTTGTACAAATCCTGTGTAAGTTCTAATAATAACAAATCTAAAACTGTATTTCCTGAAGCATTTAGACCTTAGGATTATAAAAGGCGTGTTCGTAATGATTTTTTTCTATCGTTATTGTTGTTTGTTTCTTTTTGTTGAGTGTGTGTGTGTGTGTGTGTCAGTCTAGTTTTTGTAGCTTCAAGTTGTTGTCGTTGTCGTTCGTTTTTTGCATTTTTTATTTCAACCAGCGATTTTTAAGTTCCTTGTATTTGCTTTAATCTTCTTCGTCATTATCCATCCAACAAGCGCAAGTGGAATAATTTTATCATTAAAAACGCCCCAAAATATAGATAAATCTTCCTAATTTGCTTTATTGTTTCCTCAGAGATACTTTTTTAGCTCCGTTTTAATTTTGAGCATGGCATATTGGCTCATAACCCATGACAGCTAAGCCAATGAAAACTCTTGAATTGCATTATCCAGTGTGTTTTAAATAAAATATCACCCGCAATCAGACATCTTCACCTGACTTTTTCTTACCTACTAGACCATCTAATGGCGGGGAATCCTGCGTGGGAGAAAGCAAGGAATGGAAAATTTGTAACTCGCAGGTTAGTTCGGAAAATCGCCCACAAATAAAAGAGGTTTAATTTGGAATAAGAGCGACTCTGCCTAAGTGATTGTAACGGTGACACCTTCGGATTGAGTACACGTAATTATTTATTGGAGAAGTATCCTCAACTTGAGTTTCATTTTTATGTTTGCTATTAAAAGGAATATATAAGATCATGACTCTGACGGCGTTTTGCAATTCCAAAGAGTTAACGTACCCTTTCGAAATTTGTATTCAAATGTTACTAAACTTTGAGCACGGATGCCGACATTTTGAATTTTGTGTATCACTATTGCCGGTTACCGTTGTCCTAGAGCAAGTCTCAAACCTCTTTTGATATCTGTGTAAACAGTTGGAAGTCACGCAAATAAGCATTCTTGACTCAAATTATAAGTAATGATTTTTATTTCTTCGATACCAGCGTGGCGTAGGAGGTCCTTTCGAACTGCGCGTTTTGGTTTTACGTTTGCGGCCGGGTAACTGAGTTGTTTTCAAAATGGTGGCATCTCTAGACGAAATTTTAGCACATTTAATGGTAAAGCGAATCTTGAGAATCTCAAACCTCGTAGGGAGTACATTTTCATACTTTAAATTAGCTGAGATAAAGTCTTGATTGGGTCAGAACCATGTTTCTTCTTTAATCAAGCAAGAGAGAAGAATGCTAGGCGAAGGAGTCTCCCAGACTGATACCGATACAATCCCTATACTGTTATTTTAAGACTCCACGTTAGTTAACAAAAAGATAGGCCTTGAATGTGCTCTTTTCTGTTGTAAAGCACACAGAAAGTGGCTAGAGTACGAAAGAAGTGTAGGGAGAAACAAGAGACGTAGTTTCTCACAACTTTGGTTTATAATTAAGAATCCGCTCAATTCCCCACGCACTAATCTATACTCCCTTTTAAAATGTTCCGAGAAATACACGCGCCGTGATTGGTCAGAACGAGTTCGAGGTACGAGCGCGCGCAATTCACGATACATTTTATAAAAGAAATAAAATATTTGTTCCTCGAGCATTCATCCATCCAAAAATCTCCGTGTGCTTATCTAAGTCAACAATGTACTCGGCGCGTTTTTTACTTCTTTAATAAAGCACGCGGCAATAAGCCAATCAGAATCCTTGTTAGAATGGTTCAAATGATCTGATTGGTTGAACAAGACTAAAGCTGTCAAAAATGTTAAACTATCTGCAGTAGTTTACAAACTAAAATAGTCGGCAAGTCGAATTCAACACTTTGCCTGAAGCCTTTTAGTCTCTAATACAGAATCTGAAAGTGAAATGTTCGGTGAAATCTGGCCGAATTGAAGCTCGGAAAAACACGCACGTTTTTTAAAATAACAATCAGAAAATAAGATCTGTTTAAGGCGGATGTTTAATGAATGAACGACAACCGATTTGACAGGAAGATGAAGACTGCTCGGGATGACAGCGCCGTAAAACTCGGCCGCTGTGATTGATGTGACCCTCTTACTCAACGCATCGGAAAAGATGTCAGAGCAAGCGCCTATTTGTTCACTCTAGGAGTCCGATGTAAACTCTGAGGCTTGCTTCACTGCGATGAGCGGAGATTGCGATGATGAGCTAGATTAATATGAATTTTAACAGTTATGCCAGTTTGGCTATACTTTTCAACATTCCTGTTTTGGTCCGTTTTGTTTATGACCACGAAACTATATATACCAAACGAGTGTTAGCTGTGTTTGATTTTTCTTACCATACGAACTATCCATTTCGTTTTCTCTTTGAGGATTTTCGTCTCTGCTCACGTTATAATAACGTCTGTACGGCGCTTGACAGGTTTATAAACCTTTGTTTGGTTCTTCTGTTGCTATTTGCGGACTCGTTTTTTCTGAAATTACGCTTTCAATTGACGAAAAAAACCTAGAGAGAAGTCTGAGAAATGGCCAGACATAGTACAATTTGGCAGTTGGCGTGACAGCTTTAGTTCTCTTGCCCTATGTTCTATTTAACAAGTAGATTCCAAGTTGCCATGCGTCTGTTCAGTAATAGGTCACAGATGACGTCAAAATGTGGTAAGAACAAAAAAGTGGCACATTGGTCACGTGTGAGGCGCAGCCGAGTGTGTCACTGATGTTCTTACCATATTTTGACGTCCTCTGTGATCTATTACTGAATAGACACACGGCAACTTGGAATCTATTTGTTTTATATAATAAAGAATTAAAAAAGTTTTAATGATGAAGCGGTTAGAGCACGAAAGAATTGTAGGGAGAAACACGAGACGTAGTCAAGTGTTTCCCCCCCACTACTTGAGTGCTCTAGCCGCTTCCTAAGTGCTTTACAACAGATCAGAGCACAGTCAAGGCTCCTCTATTTGTCATTACTTTCAATTTTCAAAAAAATTTTAATCCAAAGCGAACAACAGTGTCGTCAGCATGCTCTATACTCTCTTAAAGCACAATCGGAATCGTTGTTGTAATAGTTCAAATAATCTGATTGGCTGTACAAGACTAAAGCTGTCAAAAAAGTCAAATCATCAGAGTTCACATTCTGCGGCAATTGTTTACCAACTTAAATAGTTTGGCGGGTCTAATCTAACACTTCTGCCCAAAGTGTCTCATACAGAATGTGGAGGTGAAATGTTCAGTGAAATCCGGCCGAATTGTGGCTCACAAAAACACGCAAGTTTTTTCACAAATAGTACACAAACTGCTCAAGCCGAGTTTTACGAATGAACGACTGCCGAATTCACCGGAACATAAAGACTGCTCGGTTGCAGTGACTGATATGGCCCTCACCACTCAACGCATCGGGAAGGACATCAGAGCAAGCTCTTAGTTGTCCACTCGAAGGACGGTCGATGTAATTCATGAGGCTTGCTTCACTGGTCATCTCCGAGCTAGCCACGTTGGACCTCAGCATGATCGCAGTCGCTCTGACACCGTCATCATTAGTATGAATTATAACAGTTACTTTTGCTATATTTTTTATCATTCCTGTTTTGTTCTGTTTTGTTTTTGAACTCGAACTTTATATACTATCCGAGTGTTAGCTGTGTTTGATTTTTATTACCATTGGTAAGCTTGCAATCTAACCAAGCGTGAAAACTTTCAAAACTCGGACTGTCCATTTCGTTTTCTCTTTGAGGATTTTCGTCTCTGCTCACGTTGTAATAACGTCAATTACGACGCCTAGAATGTTTATAAACCTTTGTTTGGTTGTTCTTTGCTACATGCCGGCTCGCTTGTTAGGAAATTTCACTTTATGTTAACGAAAAAAAGCTATAGAAAAGTCCCGGAAAAGGTCGGACATAGTCCAATTTGGCAGATGACGTGACAGCTTCAGCTCAGCTCTATGCCCTAGACTCTCAGAGAGCACGCTCTTCCAACGAACGACAGCGCGCGTTACATCCGAACTTTATTATAATGGTCTTTCGGGAATAATGTTTCATGGACTGCTTTTGGTTGGCAACCGAGACTTGAATGTTTATAGTGGATAATAGAAAGACGCTGCATGAGATGCCCAGATCAGGGAAAATTATAATAAAGGATCTTTTGCTTTTAGATTATCGGGTGGTTCTCGAAAAATTTAATGGGATTGACTACAAGATCATTATTTGATCCACTTTATCATTTTTCTTACAGGCCTGTCAAGAAGGAGCAAAAACGTTTAGAGAGGAGCAGTGTTTAAGAAAGCAATCTGGCTCAGTTCCCTACTTTGTTTCAAGTTGTATGTGTGTGACTTTGACTGTATTTCATTTATATATTATGTGCAATTCAAGGCCATATGTTTACGAAGCTTCACGTAAAGTTCGCTGACCAAAAATAATTACCTGTAATTTTCACCTAGAACTACAATTAGGAAGCTGGCAGCGTGTTTTCAATTATTGCATTTAAGGTTTTCCTTGCTTATTCGAAGAAAAACTTGCCTAATGAGTTAAAAATCACCAAACAAAATGTAATGGTAAGACAACTAAATACGATAATTTAATTAAGATACAACAATATTTTCCTTTTCAGGGAAGTTACATTTTTCATTTTCGTAATTCATTTATCTTATTTATTTTCTCAGCCCTTTGTGAATTATATTGTCGTGTCGGAAGCCTTGTGAGTGGCAAAGGTACCGTAGAAGACGGAACGCGTTGCAAAGCAGACAAAAACACTTATGATGTGTGTATCCAAGGAAAATGCCGAGTAAGTGACTTGAGATTATATTGCAAAAGATTACCTGTATCTATTTCTTCTAGTTTGAAGAGATCTGTTCACAAATTTATCTCAGCGATTTATGGATAGTTTGTGTGGCTACTATGGCTTTAAAAAAAGTGTTCTGATACCAACCTTACTTCGTCTTCAGAATTGTCAGAGAATGTTACAATTTTGCAACCCGCAAAACTGTTTTATCTTAAAGGATTACTAAGAATGGAGAATATTTTAAAAACCCTTTTAACTCCCATGGGTGACCAAGACAGAATTTCTCTTTACAATATCAATACAATATCAAGCAGACGAGTGATGAGAATAAAAACAATTTTAACGAGAAGTAATTAGTTGATCCAGTACCAAATCTCCAAACCAAAATCACAAGAACTATATGGCAGACAGAATTACTATTAAGATCTTGGGAGCTAAAGGATTAAGTTGAATTGCGAATAAAGTTCTGAAATAAAACCTAACAAACAAACAAACAAACAAACAAACAAACAAACTTCAGCTCCAATAAATTATTTTCAAAGCAAACCATATTTCCCAGTCGATAGTTTTTCTCTCTTCTCGTTACCCTTTTTTTTTTATCGAAAACCTTTTGACATTTTGAGGAGAAAATCTTTGTGAGTCACTCCAGGAACTGAATAATCTAAGATATGTTGAAAATTTGAAATGTTTTTCACTCCGTCATGAAAATGCATTTAAGGATGTCGGGTAATTTTGGTTTTGAAATGTCACTTGAATAAATAGCCGGTTGGTTGTGATCACGTTCTGGACTCCAACGCAATGGTGGATCGCTGTGGCAAATGTGGCGGCAATGGGGACCAATGCTTCGTTATTTCTGGAAGTTACACGGCCTCTCACACTGTAAAAGGTACAGTTCATAGCCCAGTAGGAGAGTTCTTGTTGATTACGTCAAAGTTATGCAAATAGAGGGACACTAAAGAGGACTTAGGCGCCTTACTTTGCTGTGAAAATAGAGATATAACTAATATTAGGTATGTGGCTTTGACGCCCGATTCACTTGCACGGACTCCGCAGCAAACATCTTGTTAAAATTTTTAGGTGTGTTTTATTGGTGGAGTGGCTACCTGGTTTTATAGGTGGCCTTTTTTCAATTTTTTAGATAAAATATTATCGATAAGTCGGTTATTTGATTGTGTTAGTTTGATAAGTGTTAGATGTCTACTTCGGTAATCTATGATTTCATTCGATTTCGTTTGATTCTCTGTTTCCTCGCTCTTTGTTTTATTATTCTCTTATGTCTCAGAGCTTTAACATTTAGAAGGCAAAGTTAAGATTTTTATCGCCTCTTTACTATTTGCCGAAAGTACACAAAAGTGCATAAGAAACTTCAGTAAAATTACGAATGACTAGCGAATAACACCTTTTTTCATTTTGTTTCTTTAATTCTAGGTCTTGAAAATGCAGATGTCGTTCAAAGACTTCTCATTGGTGCTTACGACGTTTCTTTCAAAATGAGGCAGTCATCACGTAATTACCTCGGTAAGAAATCGAGGGACTTTAAGTGAAACCAACGGTATAACTTAAAGAGGAAGTACGCTTCAGGAACCATATCGGTTGTTGCCGTCATTAACAAAAAAAATGTACTTGAAATTACGCAGTCAGTGTGAGAAATTCATGCCTGTATACTTTGTAATGGCCGATGGAGCCTACTTATCCTCTAAATTTGACCTGATGTGTGCTGCGCGTTAGAACCCATATCAATTGGATGATGTTAAAATAATTACGACCACTCAGGACAAAGGAAGGCATCATCAGGGGTCGGTGGAATCGAAAGGTGAAATCAATCGAACTGCCTGAAGCACGAGGAAATCAGTGTAGGAAAGTCACGAGTAACTTAAACTATAAAGTATCGAGTTTTCTGACCAATCACAGAGCAGAGCAAGTAAAACAGAAGAAAACACCCTCTCCCTGAATTTTAACGATTTATCATATCAGCTGAGGTGCTGCGAAGTAACAATTTGTAACTAATCATTAGACTGTGAATATTGATGGTGAAAGCGCTTGATTACATTTCAGGGGTTCAAGCAGACAATGGAACATATTTAGTTGGCAACGTAAGTAAAAACGTGCAGGAAGTTTCTGTTGCTAACACAGTTATCCAGTATACCCGCAAGAAGTCAAAGTACAAAGTGATACTCACGATTCCAGGTCCTACAGATCAGATTCTTAAAGTAGTGGTAAGGAATTTTTCTATTAAGTATTGTTCATAGTAAACTTATATGTGACTTTATTTGTGCGTTTCCCTTAAAAGTTTATTAAATAGAGAATAATACATGGGCACGTGTGGATATGGAAATTCTCTTCGAGTGTTTACCTCAAAAGCTTCACGAGTAAGCGCTGCGAGCGAGTGAGATGTCGAGTTGAACACAAGAAGAGAAATTTCATATCCACGCGCGCCCATGTATTATTTTTTTTATCATATAAACACAAACGTCCTTTGACGCAAGAAAAGTCAACTTCATTAGTGAATGAAAATATAAAGGATCGACAATCACCGAAAAAAAATCGTAAAGTCCGTCGGCGCTAATGCTCAGAAAGAAAAACTGCGTCGAAACACCACAAAAACAAACAATGGCCGTAATTTTCATTACACAAAACATCTCGGCTATTGACTCGGTCCTTACCGGTAGAAGAAGTCTTTCAGGTAAACGGCCAAAATCGGCCTGCGGCAAATCTTCCAGTTCTTGATTTTCGTTCTCAGCTGCAAGAAACCACTGAATACATAACTTTCAGTTTTCTTCCCCCTCTAGGAACGATTGAACGTCATTGTCAGTAAACGATACGGATATTTAAGTGTTTTAGGAGCCATAATCCGAAAAAATTCCCACAAAAGACCTTGGATTGTAAATGGTGAAGGCTTTGCCGTTCATTTATCAACCTTTAAAGTGGCTAGCAATTTCAAACACACGTGAAAAATTACGATATTTTTCACATGTGCTGTTACGGCTTTTCTCAAGGCTGGAAATCCCATTATAATACCGCAGTTTATATGATAAATCGAGAATAATAAATGAAACACGTAGATATGGAATTTCTCTTCGAGTGTTCAACTCGGTAGCTCACGAGTAAGCGCAGCCAAAATCGGCTTGTGGCAAATACGCTTGTTTTTACACATATCATTTCTACACCATCTTTTGGCACTTTATGTAAATTACGCCGCCTTTTATAAATTATGTTTTACGTCCCTCAAAGCAATGTGTTTTATATTTGCGTGGATGTGCACCCTTTTCCTACGAGAGTTTCGTTTCTCGTATATTCCCTCACTATTTGGTAATTTTTTTGCCTCGTGGTATCATCACGTTTTATTTTTGCCTAATAATTTGTTGGTATTTTTTTATAAAATTCGTTTTTCCGTTCCTTACGAATTTCCTTCTTCTTCACATGCGTATTAAAGATAAGTTAAGTTGAATACTGAGTAAATGTAATTGATTAAAGCGGGCCCATGCCTCTTCAATATTATATTTGTCTTGGGTAAATCAAAAAAGCTGTGCATTTTGTAATCCTTGGAACTGATAATATTGAGGGAGGGGGGGGGGGCAGAGGTTATTTGTGGGGCATTCCGGCAGGTTACTTTGTTACCTAATGATTTCAAACTGTCCTTCGTTCCTTTATTTTCAGTATGTTTATGTCCAAGGTGGAAATCCAGGAATAGACTTTGACTTTAAAAGGGTCGTGCAACCTTCCGACACACCGCCTGAGAATAAATTTGAATGGGTGACATACACGTGGTCCGCCTGTTCCACAACGTGTGGCCAAGGTACAAACTCTTGAACTAGACGCGAGAGATTAAGAACTGCACGCATGTGCGTTTCTGCTCTCTTGCGCACGTGTTTCTGTTGTTCTTACTAAGTCCAGGCAAACGAACTGTTTGACTTTTCATAATCAAGATATACATTGAAATAGCTGATAGTACTCACTGCTTTTACGAGAAACTGAACGTTTAGCTGTAATTTTTTTAAGCTGTGAATTTAAGTGTGCTTACTTGAGCTCGGCAACATAGCGATGATGGCGATACCCTCAACATAGAAGGTGTCACCGTGAATCCAGAAAATCTTACGACATACATTTGGAAGAACCTTTTTTCTAAATTCAGGAAGTGCCAGAGAATCTGGTCACCTCCCATCACAGGTGAAATTCGAGTTAAGTTTAAATTTTCTTTTTTTTTTAACATTGGGCTGATGTGTTCTACGAAGTGAATTGAACAGGAACTATCAACATGTTGGAGAGGGTCAAGATACTTTACCCTCTCCAAGCAGATACTTGCCTTTTCGATCATCTACCCTCTCATATCCCACCCTTGCTGGTGGAGTAACTTGACGGTACTGGTTTGCGTTTTCGCTCGCAGGTGTTCGTACACGCTCAGCGAGATGTATTCGGTCAGATGACAAAACACCCGCCAGCGATGAAGCTTGTGGAGAGAAAATTACAAGTGAATCATGCCAGGTCAAGGACTGTCCCTCGGAGTAAGAGCAATGCATTTCTTTGACAATCAATTACTGAGTTAAATACAGAGCTAATGGTTTACTTCTCACTAACGTGAGTTTGGGTTGAGTCATTTTGGCTAACGTCTTCAGAAGCGTTCTTCAATGGATTAGAGAGGGTGCTGCTGCACTGAGTCTGCTCAGTGTTAAATCGATCAGAATCGATCAGAGATAGAAATTTTGAGTACGTAGAAGGTATTTTGGGAGTCTTCTCGGTATTAAATTGAACAGAATCGATTAGATATAGAAATTGTTAGTACGTAGATCTTACCGTTGCTGTGAATAGTCCATTGCGATAGATTAACCTGCAGTCGTTCGGCTTTTGACGTAGAAAGAGAAGCCTGAGCGCCGCGGTCTTGTGTCTATATTAACTATATAAGTAACACAAGAATTTTGCTTTCAGATGGCACACCACTGATTGGTCAACATGCTCCAGATCATGTGGCAATGGGTTGCAGACACGCGATGTCATCTGCCGTAAGAAGATCAACCCTACAGAGTATGGACCAAGCACAAACTGTCCTGCTGATCAAAAACCCAGCATTTCTGAGAATGTTCGATATTGTAACAGCATCGATTGCTTGGCTGATTGGGACACTCAAGAGGGGCTACTGGTAAGTGCCTCCAATTTTTAGAGGATCTTTCAATCGATCATTTTCAATTTATGTATCAGGAAGTATGAGATATTATGACGTCAAGTTAAAAGTCATCCTGAAAATGAACGTTTATTTCTCTTAAGAATCACGAGAGTAGCTCTATGTGTTGAACTTCTTCTAACGTCGCGAGAACTCCCTTTCAGCATGATATGTCAATGAAGCGTTAAGTAGAAACGTGAACGATTTTCTATGGGGTTCCCAACCTCAGACTCGGAAAATTTTTTTAATTTTCTCTTCTCATTTTGCTCAAATTGTTTGAAAAATGTACAAAGTTTTAATGCAAGGACGTGCAGAGGTATTCCTTTTTAGATATTTGTATTCCGCTGTGTTCTCGTTTCACTTTTAGGGTTTTCTGAAAGTCTTGTAAAGACCCATTACTGCCTTGCTTCGGTATTGTCAGCTAGCAGTCAGTTGCTGCAAAATTGTGAAGTTTTTAACACTCCTTCATACATTTTGTGGGAAGTTTATTACCTGACAACGATTCTAGTCAATCCAGACTGATCGCATATGACTTAAGCGTACAACAGTGGTAGATGTCTCTGATAGGTGTTAGTCTGAGGTCTCAGTGTCCGCCGGGCCGGGGTTGAGTTTGCCTCTCTTTTTTCTTCCTCTTTCATCGATTCACAGTTATTTTCATATTTTTCTCTGTTGGTCTGCCTTGTGCCCTCAGTGTAGGGTGAAGGCAATCCCAGAATCACTTGCTCCAGCCTCAGCCAGCCGGCTAAACCAGTTATTTTGTTCTTCGCTTTGGTTAAATTTTCGTTAAGCTTCCATTTTTCACTTTGGCCGAATGGTTTCTCCCCTCGCTACAACACTCACTCTTACCAGAAGGCCTGTATCTTTCCTCTTCCTTTACAGAGAGACAAATGCGGGGAGCCAATTGATCCAGCGACGCTCTCTTGTTACCGATTGGATCAGTTTGGCCAAAAAGCCATGGTTCCGAATCTTTTATGTAGGTACAGAGCTAAGCCGACACGTCTCCCATGTACAACTACATCATATCGTTCACAATCATATCGACATCAATATGCAATATTTACCAGCGTATTGGTTCCTGTGCTTCAGATTTTGCAGGAGTATTATAATTTGGGATAGGTTGCATTTACTGACGTCTGTCCTTGAAGGAACTTTGATTTTAAATTGTTAGAGGTCCCTTTTGTTACATGTCAAATGGCTCTCTCTCCTTGGGAGTGGGAAAGGATGCTCTGTTACATATATAAATGATTTCAAGTGTGACAGTACAATCAAATCAGCTTCTTCTTAGAGTTCAATCATTGCGAATGTCCTTAAATATATTTTAACAAATTTGAATGGAAACTTTACCTTGGGTGTCTACTAGCATCTCAGCTAAAATGAGATGCACAGAATAAAAAATAAAATAATCCGTCAGCAGAATTAAATAATCCGTCAGCAGTACCGTTTACTGGCATAAATCACGATATTTTGTAAAGAAATCTAACATGACACTCTTATCTTGTTTATTTATCACATTATTAGCTGTTTCGATGATCAAGTTATGCTCTACCACATTTTAGCCAGATTTAATTTGCAGTTTGTAAATCTTGCCCACATTATTATATTAGTCGCATGACAAGCGTGACACATAAATTCAAAGACGAATCAACCTCCGAATTACCAAGAGATGGGTTTTTTTCCCTCTTTTCATATCTGTAAAAACCTTCCAAGAACTACTGTATTCAGAAAAGTAAAACGTTTAGATCCATAAATGATTCCTTTGCCGGCAAAAGTCAAAGAATGTTTACAAAAGTCAATTCGATTGACAAGGCACATACTGATTTAGCTAATTGATCTGTTGTATGAGCGTCTCATCTTACATGCTAACAAGGAGATTTGCTGTTCATTTAAATCGTTCGCTGGTGGGTCTTTTGGGTATAGTTATCAAGAAGACCGACGTTGCATATCTCAGGTCGTTCCCTTACGTAGTTATAAAAAAGACATTTCAAGTTACTTGCGGAGATCCAGAAACTGAAGCTGATCTTATTTTGTCGCGAGCCGGCATCTTAGACACGCCAAAAGATATCGATGATTTTACAATTTGCGCCATTCATAGATCAAATCTAGGTACCGTTGTTGGGTGGATTCGTGGTTCCATTAGTAGATGTAGAGTGCATAAAGAAGTGTGCGGCCATAGTAAAGGTAGGGTTAAGTCGATTCCAAATGCCTATTGGGGAACTGGCAAGCGTGTACCACAGATAGCAAGCAAGACATCTGGAAAATTCATATAACCCGGCTACTTACCACCTTGTGCAAAATTACACGTCCCGTCAGACTTAGGCTTCGATTGGGAATTGGTCAATAGGCTACCAAAAATCCAGACAGAGGCGGAATTTTCTATACCAATGTCTGAGCACCTTGTAAGCTTCCCGCTGTCTGGCGGGACGCGTAATTAAGCACGCAGTGGTAAAGGGCCCTTCCGCAGTAGCTACAAGACGCTGACAAAACTTTTTTCTCTTCACTGAAAATCACATCAAAATTTGTCCTTGCTAAATTTCAAGTGTGCTGAACGTATCAGCACCCCCCGGGGAACCCCTATACATAAGAGGGCGAGGATGCGCGCCGGGAATTTTGTAAATGACCCCTATAAATTTATAAAAGGTACCTGAGTCTTATCCGTGTGGGAGTGGCAACAACTGATATCTACCCTTAAAAAGTACCAATTTAAACACAAAAAAATTGAAAAATCCCAAAAATAAGAACTTCTTTATCGATGTGCTCCAGAAGCTCAATTCAGGTCATTGAAATCGTCCTAGTAATGCTTATTTCAGGTATTTCATTGAGCGAAAAACGCCTTTGGTACTTCATCCGAGGTCCACGAGGTAAATCGCGATTTTATGGCATCCGAGCAACGATAATTGGATAGATTCTTTACTGCATCCTTGGTTCGACCCTCCAGGTGAGTGCGGAGATCTTCCATGACTTCATTTTTTTTTTCTTCGATGCAACTCAAACGAGTGCGAAGAGTGGTAATCAATTTTAAGATTTCTTCCTGATCTCTCGTAGCATTTTTCACATGGGCCTTTGCGTGGTAAACTATTTGAGAAAGAAGTTCATATAGCCACCTAATGAAACAAACACAATACCAAGGATCAACAGAGTATTGTCGAGGCGATACAAATGTAGACAAAAACAGTTTTACTGACCCCTTGAAAGCTTTTATCTGTGGGGAAAAACCTTTGTTTAGACATTAGTTGAGACCATGTATTGCTAGTTACCTATTTTTTAAATGTTTCATACAACTCCTTACCCTGTTCTCCAATTTTCCTCTACACTGCAAAAAGAAACACTTGTTGTGTTGTTCCCTTTCACCTCGCATTAACCGACGCATATGAGCATATGAGCATATGACCACATGAGCATACTAACAGTTAGGTGCTTACCTCCAATAAAATTCCAGCCTGGCTTTGACGCTTCTTAAAACCATAGATCTCATACAATTCATCAGAGAAAAAATCTTTTGGTTATGATCCCGTAGTTTTGGGCGATCCTGGCATTCTTCGTTGACATTTGAACGATCTGTTTCTCCGGGACAATATGAGGATAAAACTTCTTTAACTTTTCGATGACATGATTCTCCGCTTTTTTTTCTTCTTTTGTTTCTTTCACTTGGTCCCACTTGTTACACACCAACAAGGCACAGGTGGATGTAAACTCTTCTTCCTTGCGTTTTTCTTTGACGCCCTCCAGCAACTTTCCCAACTGTAATTTACCATTTAAGGTTACGTTGTATTCTATTCAGGTAATCCTTTTATTTTGAATCACTATGATTTCGTATGTGTAGTCACTTTGATTTTTCATAAATCTATCATTCGTGATAATCAAATACAAATGCATCTTTCATGCGACTGCTGTCTAATGACTGATGAAATTTGGAAAAAAGTCAAATTTAACTTGTTTTGATCCTACATGAGAGATTTATTAATCAGAGTTGAGTACCTTTATCTCTTCTTTAAAGAGATCCTGCGAGTTTTGTTGCACGTTTTCTTAACTTACTTTGAGTCATGATCGTGGCTTACTTCAGAATGTTCCACGCTGAGCACGGTGTGTTTTGGATACACCGATACCAGATGCTGATGAAAGAGTTTTTTAAAATTGTTAAAGAGTTATATCCTATTTAGACTTACTCTATCTTTCTGAACTCCTCCAGCGTTTGTGCAGTTGATGACGTAAGTAAATGCAAAGGCCTCAGGCAGATACTTGATTTCACCAGAGTTTCATCAGACACTTGATTTCAAAAACGTTGACGCCTAAAAAGGCTTCGGAATGAACGACGAGACCCAACGGCTTAACGGGTATACATATGGATGATAACTGATGGTACCTTCAAAAGTTGGTGAGGCCAATAGAGTTCTACCTTCTTGTAAATCGAGCCTTTTTCCCGACCACTCTGGATAAATGGAGAGATCTGCTCAAGATAACTTTTTTAAGAAGTTTGAGGCTCGACCAGGTTGAAAGTTTTCGTGGGCAATGGCGTTGCCAGGTCTTTGTCTTTAAAGTGGGCAACAATTCTTCGTTCTTCTCCGTATTTCAACTCGCATATGGTGGACGTGTTGCTTAGAATAGAAAAGGGAAGGAGCTCCTCTCCAAGAATGAGATTAATCAAACTGGTTTTTCCAGGTCCAGTCTCACCTTAAAATGAAACGCATCGGTAAATGAAGAGGTTCGTGGTCATGTTTATTCAAATAGCACCGGTCTACTAACAATTTGGAGATCGGACAATCCTGTGTAATTAGACATTCTTCCTCTGCGTTGTTGCTGAGGCATAAAGTATAATAAGCAGGCTGCTCTTCACTTCGGAGCGCGAAATGTTTTCATGAGAGGAGTGGGTGCAATCGATATTTGAGAACAGATTAGCTTTTTCTTTCCATGGAAATGGGTGCTTAGACTGTCTTTAATACATTACAAATCTCTCGGCTCTTTTCTCAACCCCAACCAAAACATCCTTTTTTTTAAGAAATGATACAATTAAATGTACCTGCCACTAAAAGGTAGTAATCTTCTTTTTTCATCTTTATTTGATGACTTTTCATCTTCTCCTTTACATTGCCCATTTTCTTCTTCAGCAGAGTTTGAATATTGTCATCTAGATCATCATAACACGTTTCAACCTCGCGGTAAAAGCTTAGCAGGAATTCCTTAACCTTGGCATCTTCGTCTTTAATTTTTGATAAAACAGAAAAGGCCTAAGGACAAAAGAGCACGTTCGCATGTAAATATACAAGAAATGGCTGTTTTGTATAGTGAAATTGTCACCGTTTAGAAGAGATTCTGGTATCATGACTGGGAATGATACCTAAAGGGTTCCAGGAGTAATGATTGTAATTCATAAAGGAACTGTACACGGCACGCATCATCGGATCAATCAATCCATTGTTCAAGTTTGTTTTATTACTCCAAAAACACCCGCAAAGATAATAAAAGCATTGGAAAGTAGAATTTATACAAGAAAATGTAGTCAAGCTATTAGCGAGCGCAAGAAAGAGGACTATTCATATACTAACGTCCCTCTGATAAAATAATTTTTATTTTCTAAGCGAGACGATGGTTTGAATTGCAATCGAAAGGTTGCGCTATAGTCTGAATAATAATGAAGGAGCTAAAAGAAAGTCAAAATTTCTGTTTTTTTTTTTGCTTCAGTTATTAAGTAGTAATAACTTAAAAGAGTATTTCATTCGAAAGTTTCCTTAAGATCTTATCCACGTAGAGAAGAAAATCATTAGGTTAGAGTTCGAAACGATTCCGTTTGTTTACTGTCTGCGATATGAGTTTGCAATTTTAATTTTTACCAGCTTTTTATAGCTCTCACTTTTGACTGTATGGATGGGTCAGTAAAACCACTGATATAAATGGAAGAAATGGGAGAATTCAAATGAAAGGAAAGTACTGCATCAAGAGTAAAATTAATTGACGGCGATTGAGATTCTGCCCATAGCTCAGCATGTCGTTTTTTAATTTGCTCCTCTTCATCAGTCATAATACAGCGAAACCAGATTTTTTAAAGAATTTATTATGGACTTCATAAGAAGGGGAAATTTTAAATGAGTTGAATTTGCGCAAAGAACCGTTATACTGAAGAAGCTTTCAAAAAAACACTCACGAACCGGCAACTTTCGCGTTTTCGTCGTCCACTTTGAAGTAGTCAGTGTACCGTAACAGAATCAAGTTTTTGCTTCAATTTGCATTCGAAAAGCTTTCTTATGTTTTCGTTATGGTTTCGCTCTAGTTGTGGTGCTACCTTATTTACTAATTCAGTCGTTGTCGCTGTTGTTCCTTTTCTTGCCGTAACTATATGTTAATTTACTGATACTGGTTTCTAGTTTTCCTTAACGGGTCTAATAAAAAATCAGCGACTAGATCACAGAATAGGTGATACGATTATTTTTCTCTTCTATGATAATTTCATATATGTAATAACACGTTTCCCTTTTTTATGTGAGAAAAAAGTAACTTGGGATGTTTAAAGAACACTCGAAAAGCATATCAACTGACTTGCCCGACGGCCAATGATTTACAGGCTTTTTTCGTGTTCTACCAATGTTCTTCTTGGATTACATCGTTATGAATTCCAATTTAAAATGTTCTGTCGCTTCGATAAGGCCTCCTTCCTAAGTCCCTTTTCACATGTTTCTTTTCGTGGCCCGACTAGCACTGCAAACCCTCGAAAAGCTATCCAAACTACTTTTGATTTTGCACTCCGTACCTCACAACCACGTGGACGGTTGTAGTAATTTCATATGATTAGTTAATGATGGTACAGTATTGTGCAAAAGTAATGCAAACACCTTTCGACGAAATTCCCGGCTTTTCGACGAATTCTTGACCGAAACGAAACTTCCACGACAATTTCCACGCGAATTTTCGAGGGATGTATTGTTTTGAACGGCTCGAACTTTCGGCGACATATTCCTTGATGGCGTTAATGCGACTCGAAATTTCGAG